GAATCTCACTCCAGTCTTCCCACTCTACCTGGCCCTCTCTCCTGCTCTAGCTTCTGGAATACATTCTTGCTACCCCAGCCTGGACACACCAGGGACCCCACGGGGATGCCTTGCAGCCCCTCACTACCACGCGCCCGGACTACAACGTCTGCTGGGCAAGCTGGAGCTTTGCCCGCAGCGTCGGTAATGGACCCTCAATAAACGGTACTTAGCTGCAGGTGTCTGCCTGTCATGTCCTTACAGAGGAATCAGGAGCCCAGAAAAAGCAAAGGATCTATTCACCTTGGAGCAAATAGCACTGACTTGAAACACAGCGACCTTGGTTCAAGTCCCAGTTCTTCCACGGGCTCAGTGTGATGACACCGAGGCCTGTCACCTCTCTGGACCTCTTTGGCCACCTCTGGAAATGAAAGATTAGGATTGACGAGGAGATTCCTCCAAGCAAAAACCAGGATTTGCCCATCTGGGTGGCAGTAGCGCAGGGCGGGGAGGGGTTTCATCCTCGGGGTGGTACAAGTGGCCACCCTCGCTCCTCACTCGTCCCAGGGACTTTGATTTTCAGCAACTTCAATTGCCCTTGAGAAAAGATGAGGTTTTGGAGAAATAAAAGGAAACCTTCTTCGGGGGACAGCAGGGACCCTAGACACAAAGGCCCCTGCCTTTGGCCTCAAGTGCCCTCGTCCCTCGTCCAGCCCATACCTCCTGCTTCACCGTTTCCCAGGATCATCCTGGCGGCCCCACAACCTTCCCTTTTTAACAACTCTTGCTGATGGAAAATTCTTCCTCATACCTAATCTAAGTCCATCTGCTGCAATTTCTGTCTATTTTCTCTCGCTCGGTCTTTACTGGAGATGGAGAACAGCTGGTCGCCACCCTCCATGCAGCATCCCCTCCTCAGCCACACTCGGTTATTACATCACCCTCAGCCTGGCTCTCTCTGGCGCAGCACCCACCCTTCCTCCCGACCTGCCTCGTGGATCCCAGCTCAGAAAGCATCGCCGATCGCTGTGGCCCACGTTGGGGGATGCTCCGCAAGCTCCATTCTTCCCAAACCACAGCATCTGCAGGGAGATGTGGGCTCAGCGGCAGATTCCAGAGAAACTGGAGCAGAAAGGGACATATGAGGACCTGGTCTGAGCCCCTGGCTTGTCCACGCTCCAGGATCCAGATCCCAAATATTAACACCACAGTAGCCGAGTGGGTGCAGCATGTGTGTGACGTGGGTGAGAGCAGGCCAGCCTCACTGGAAAAGCAAAGGGCCACCATGCCCCAGTGCATGCCCTGCCCCAACTCTCTTCCCAGTCCCACTAGCAGGTGCCCGCACGTCCACCACACCCACCTGTGATTTCCATGAGCAGTACAAACACCTGGAAGAGGCAACACCAGTAACAGCTCACAGTGGAGAACAGGCGACAAGATGTGGCCCTTTCTGACTACGGATGGATTGAGGGTGAGAAGAGAACAAAGAACAGGGGAGCTAAGAGAACGGCAGACCAACTCCACTGCTTGTTCGTGCCACCAAGGTCAGCCCCGGCAGGGCCTCAGCACGGTGCCTGACAGGAATCCCTGGGCACCAGGCAGACCTGTGCTCAGAAACACCTGCCCCATCTGCCTCGCCCGGTTGGCTGCACCACTCCAGGTGCCCCTGGGCGCACTGCAGAGAGCTGAATTTGGAAAAAGGGAAAGGGTTACCTCATTGCTCCCACCAGCCAGGCTCCCGTGCACACCCCAGAACTCTCGACATGCGATTAACTCTTTCAGTGAGATGAGCGAGGTGACTACAGTTGCATCGCAATCCTGGGGCACCCTCACCTGACAGGAAGGGAGAACCAGAAGGACTAGAAGAGAGGGAAGAGAGGTGGACCCCATTCCAGATGAAGCAGGATGATTCAGGCACCTGCTGCAGTGTGAAATCACACTCAGGTGGGGAGGACGAAGGGACCCGGGAGTGTGAGGAGTTGATCAGATGGAATATTTACTCATAATTTTGGCTACAAAAATTTTCCCAAATGAAGGATGAGAGGGGAAAATGGCATAAGGTGGTGAATAGACTTCGAAGCCGAAATTGCAAAGGAGTCTCCACCTCATCTTGCGTAAACGGGAGCACTGTCCCTAACCTCTTCAACTCTCAGGAGAGCTCCAGCTTGTTTCAAACCTCCAGACACTCTCCAAGGGGAGCAGGGATTCACAAGTGCACAAGAGGAAGAGAGGACATTGTAACAGCATTTACGAAAATGCCCAGCACAATCGGAGCCTGGACTGGATTTCCCCCAAACCAGGAAATTGTATTTTAAAAGACAAGCCAAAGAGGGCCTGCCCTGCTAAACATGTTCATACATATATATATATATATTTTAATCCTATTTCAAGGGATCGTTTTAACAGCAAAATCGGCTCCACACAAGATCAAAGCAGGTTAGCAAAGAGATGGTTTACCGCTATGTTGATGATGAAAAGGGACACGCAGAAAGATGGAGAGGCAGAAGAGGAAGGATGGGACATTTTCTTGCCAGGGGATCACACTGAACTTGGAGAGCAGAAAGACGCAGCCTCTTCACACCACACTGGCTCAGTGAGGGAAGTCCTGGGGAGTCAGTTGGGTAGAGGAGAAAAACGCTATGTCTACGGTGGCGCCTATCCTGGGCCCTGGTAAAGCACTCATGTTTGAGGAGAGGACGTAACATTTCATTTCCTGAGCATCAGTCAGTCCCTTCGTACACAGCCACCCGCTTCAGAAGGAGTTAATCAGCCTCGCACCAGCGATGAAATCCTCCAAACTGGATCACAGCAGAGGCGCTGGTCTGGGTTTCACACCCCACCCCGTGTCCGAGGTGAGGCCACGATGGTGTTTTGTGTCTCCTCAATTCCTCTTCAGCTCCTAGTATCCCTTTTTTAGTCTAAAGTTGTTATTTTAATGCTCTCTCTTCCAAATGGGGAAAAACAAGGAAGAGGGAGATGAGGGGGAGGAAGAGGGAGGACAGGCAGGCGGAGAGCCCCTCCTGTACTTGCCATGCTCCCTCTCTCCCCCTCCCCTGCCTCTCCCCTCAGAGCATGAGTCACCCTTCGGGAGCTGTTCGGAATGCCTTACTTTTAACATTCTGTCACCATAGAAATTTAGCAGATCCATCCATTGAAGGGATCCCCAGTTTTGCTTCTTAATCCCAAGATATCCCTCAAACTCAAAACTGTGTTCGAGTTGTATTACTGTCCTCATGACAGCCAAGGAACCCCCATTCCAAGTCCCCCATGCGCTTGATGTCCCTCTCCTGGGCACCCTGGGGGGGGGTCCCAGGCACTACAGAGACCACAGAGAAGGAGGCCCTTGACCAAAACGCTCCACTGGCCCAGTAAAGCCCAGCTCCCACTCAGCCTGCCCACACGGCACACACACACAAGCACACACACACACGTGTGTGTGCACACACGGGAATTATCATCTGCAGGGCTGCAAGTTTGTTTTGTTTACTGTCAGGCAGCATTGTGCAGAAGAGAAAACTGTATCCTAAAGTCAAGAAGCTATTTTTTTTTAACCATTGTGAGTAGAGCTTCGATAATAAAAGTTCCCACCCGAAATAGCTGCCTACGGGAGGTGGCGGAGAACCTGTTGTGGCCGTTTAAGAACATAAGGGTTAAAAAGTGAAAGTGATTTGTGGAGCCAAAGAATGAGAACTGTCATCTGCAGCGCGGCGGGAAGGGTGACACAGGGAAGAGGTGTCACTGAAGAATCCCTCCCAAGACATTCATTCTTGCCAGGACTGGGACCCAAACTCCCCACCTTCAGGTCGGGGACAGAATCAGGGTGAGGACATTCACCTGCATCGCCTGAGCCTGGCAGCGTCAGTGTCCAGGAGGTACAGTGTCATATCTGGTGAGGTTGCAGAGAGGAGTAAGTTCAAGACCAAGCACTCGCCTTCTCCCTCCACAGGGACCCTGCTTCCTAGAGACGCGCCCACCTCATAACTCCCTTTGGCACAAGTTGGAGGAAGGGAGTTCTCCTGGGACTACAAATGGATCTCAGAGCAAGTGAGGCCCTTGGGGGGCTCACGATCTAGACCGTGCAGGGGTGCTGTGGGCCGAGCCAGCTGCCTGCCAGGGCCAGCTTTGCACTGGAAGAGCAGTCAGCAGGGACAGTGTGGACGGCAACTTCAGCACCCTCGCTCTGCCACAGACACACCTGCGCAACTGAACAGCCGGCGCCAGGAAAGCTCGCCCCTCCCACCAGCCTCGCCCGGATGCTCAGGCCTGGACACCCCTCCTCTCACAGGGGTGTAACCTTCGTACAGGATAAAATTTAGCCATCTTCGTTATTTTTCAGGACTCGCCAAGCCTGGAAAGTCTTCCAGAGTTTTCGGGAGCTAATCGAGGAAGTGATGGCTGTCCCTCTGAGAACCGTTCTGTTGGTTTCTCAGCAAGTTGTGTGACACGCAGACACCCACTGGGTCAAACGGGACCGGCTCCACGCCCCAGGACACGTCTCCTCCCACCCAATAAACTGAGGCGAGACAGAGCGGGCGGAGGCAGCAGGAGGAGGGACACGCAAGTTTAAGGAGGGACTCAGGTTGAAGGTCACAAGAGTTTGGGGGAGGCAGGTCAAGGGAAGGCAAAGGGACAGCCCCTGGAGTGGGAAACACCCACGACCAACCGCCTTTCTCAGAATCAGCCTCCCAAAGATGGGTCCCCCAGGAACCAGCGCGTCCTGGGGCCCAACTGGCTTCCCCCACAAACCTGAACCTACCCCCTAGCCCTGCGGGCGCCTAGCCCAGCGCCGAACCTGAGCGCAGCTGATGAAGAGTAGTAAACAAGCCCAGCTCTCCACAGCGCAGAACTTTTCCAAATTGGCTGCTCGTTTTCCTCCCCACCCACGGCAGCGGCTCCCCACCTTTGTCACCTTTCCTCCCCTAAACTTTTCTCTTCTTTTCTGCAACCCCTCCACCAAGGCTAACCGGGGTCCCACTGAGAAAGGCAAAGCAGGAACACCCCCGGGGCGCAGGCAGAGGTACCTTTTCCGCGGAGCGGAGGGGCCGGTGCCCGGAGGCCGGTGCCCTGCCGAGCAGTGGAAGGATGCCGTGGGCTGGAGCACGCTGAGGATTACGCGTCCGCGTCTCTGCGACCAGACCTGTCAGCAGCTCGGACCCACTGTGCTAGCGAAGCACTTAGCAATTATCTGCTGGCGCCGACGCCCCGCCCTCTGCTCCTGCGATTGGCTCTCCGGTCCCGGGCAAGACTGCATTGGTTTCAGCCGACCTCACTCAGTGCTTTGGCTCCTACTATTATCTAAGCCATCAAAGGAAATAATTCCATGTTTCATTGACAACCTGTAAGGCTCGCCCCGGCCCTGTGTGGGGCAGAACTGGGAGTCCAGGGGAGAGAGGGGAGGAGAGCAGAAGACGTGGGGGTGCGGGGCAAGGGAGAGAGCGGCGAGG